ATAAATATATATAAGAGTTAAAATTCAAGAATAATTATTTTTCCACGCCTCTCTATATATATAAGTCCTATAAGAATCTATCATGTTTTTATCAAAATCAATATCGTGTAAGTGATATCTCTATATTAATATTGTATAAGAAATATTTTTATTTTATTTTATTGTCTTGTATAAAGGTTGTCCGCCTTTTTTCTAAAAAAAAAATAAAAACAAACAACTCGTTTTAAATAAAAATAGTATATTGGTTTACGCTTCGCAATGGATCAATATAATTTTTTTAAAAAATAAAAAGAATATTAAAAATATAAAGAATGTTTTATACCTATTGAGTATGGCAGTCATACTAGAGAATCTGAAAAAATATAGAGAATGTTTTATATCTATTAAGTATGGTGGTCATGCTAGACCCAAGTAACTTAAAGTTGGTAATCATGCCAGACTCAAAAACCTTGAACTTATCCTAAATACCAGACTCAGAAGCCTTAAATCTATAGGTCACGTCAAACTCTAGTTCCTGGGGTGTGGGCATGTCATATTTTTTTTTTCCAATAGTAATACTTAATAATTATATAAATAATATTAATAATAATGAAAAGAATAACAACAACAATAATTTCATCATTCAAATCAAATCTATGTTTTTTCTTCAATAGTAATAATAATTTTTTTCAAATATAATAATAATAATAATCATAATAACAATAAATAATAATAAAACCTTTGTTCCTTGGATATAGCATTTCTTTTCAGACCCAAGTAACTTGGGTTAGCCACCCTTGCTAGATCCTAGCTCGTGGGGTTCCGTCATGCCACATCAAAGTTTTTGGGGTTTCACATTACCTTGCAAACCTAAATTACTTAGATTTGTTGGTGTCAAATCCATATTTTTTTAGGTATGACATCCTCTAATAGATCCAGATTTGGCATTACCTACTAAACCCAAGTTATTTGGGTATGACATGCCTTGTAAAACCTAAGTTTTTTTGGTCTGGTGCCCCTGCTTGGCCCTCATTCCTAGGATGTGGCTATTTTAAATCCAAGCGTGACTTTATTACTATTTTTTAATAATAATAATAATTTTTTAAAAATTTATCAATAATTATATAAATAATATTGATAATAATAATAAGACTTGCGTTTCTTGGATATGACATCCCCTTTTAAACCCAAGTAATTTAAGTATAACATCCTTGCCAGACCTTAATTCCCGAGATTTAGTCGTGCCACATCTAAGTTTCTAGCCTTTGTCCGAATTAGACCGAAGTTTCTTAGGTACGACATCACCTTCCAGACTCAAATTACTTTGATCTATTGGTGTTAAATCTATATTCTTTAGCCAAACTCAATTAATATGGATTTGACGCTTCTACTAGATCCACAGTGCTTGAGTCTGCTAATATTTACAGACCCAAGATGTTGGGGTCTAGAAACTATGCTTGACCTGAGCGTCGTGGTTCTAGCAGATATGCCTAACTCAATTGCTAGGTGTGCCATGCCCCCAACAATTAGGTTGACAACCTTGTCATGCCCCAATGCTTGTTATTGCCTTAAAAAGCTCGGGAGTGACACCTAAATGAAAATATTTTTATATGCAGCCTTGTTTTTATTGAAACTCAAGAATAATATTATATTTAAACTATTTTAATAAAATAATATAAAAATATAGTGAATCCCCTCCAAACAAATATATATTTCCTTTTTATCATATGTATGAATATATCTTCACTATTTTTTTTAAAAAAAAAGGACAAGAAAAGCCCCAAATCCCAAGGTTAAAAACTCAAACAACTATTCTATCCTCAATCATTTTTTCCATACCAAATATATCTTATAAAAAAATAATACAATCTCACCATAACTGCATGATTAACAATTTTATTTGATAATAATAATTATATCATCATACTATTTTAATCCATAATAATCTACATCTTGATAAATAATAATAAAAAATAAACGTTATAACACTAATTTCCTCCAAATATTGTATAATATCATGCCTGGCGTCACTAAAATCCGCAATTCTGTTGGTTCTTCAACCAAATGACATAAGATATCACTTTATTCTAAAACGTTTAAAATAATATATTAATCACTCTTTTAGCTAGAGAAAAAACATGCGCTCCTAGACTCAAACCCTTGACCTTTCATGCATTAATTATTCAAGCTACGACACAAAACTTACAAAGTACATGAATTAAAAAAATATATATATCTAACTTGCCACCTGATGTGGCCATTGAAGAACTGAGAGAACTTTTTTGCGGCACTGGACAAGTAATTCCGTACCTTTTCCTTAACAAGTAATATCCAATAACAAGCTTTAGTTTTTGTAAATTTTTTCAGTTTAATCAATCAAATCTGATTAATCAGACCAGTCCGCCCATCCAACGACCAAGCGGTAAAATTTTCTGTAGCAGTTAAATCAAACTAATCATTCGAATCAGCACTTGCCACTTGTACATCTCCCAGTCGGTGAATAGAAAAAGTGAAAACATTAAATTAGTCCTCAGCATATCCACCCATTCTCAATTGGCTCCTAAACTAAAACCGTTTCAATTGAATCTCCAAAGTTTTAGGTTTTCCTAAACCGATCACTTCCATCCATTTCTATTTATATTTCGAGTTTTTTTATTTTATGAAATAAAAGAACCCATTTTTTTAATATAATTTGACGTTTCGTATCAACAAGTCACTGGAGAGTTTAAATAATGGGCACTGAATTGAGGAATCTAATAGTTTAAGTACTAATGTGTAAATAAGGTAAATCCATAGTACGTAGTCGGGGAAAATATCTGCGTCTCAAGAGTCAAGTCAAGGCCAGACCCTATATAATCAAGATACACTCACAGAAACACAATAGATAATATCGTTACCCTAATTTCTCTGACCACACTGCGTCTCGGCGAGAAACAACGCAAGAACCGTAAGAGACGAAAATACAAGAAAAAGGAGCTATACAGGAACCAGGTCATGTCTGGGATGTATGGTCAAGACGGTGATTCAGGTCCTCCGTCTTACGGTGGCGGAGGTGGATATGGAGGTTACGGAGGCGATGGTGGCGGACGTGGTGGATATGGTGGTCGAGGAGGTGGTGGAGGCGGGGGGAGAGGCGGAGGAGGAGGAGGATATGGTGGTCATTCGCAAAGTCGAGGTAATTTAGTAATTGAATGTTTTTTATGTAGTTTTAACCTATAATTGTCAGGGTCTTGAGATCCGTTCTTGTGATTTTGAGTGTTTAAATGTTAATTGTTATTGGATCTGATCTGTAGGAGGTGGATACCAAGGAGGAGATCGGGGAGGCAGAGGCGGCGGAGGCGGCGGAAGAGGTGGTGGCCGTGGTGGAAGCGGCAGGGAAGGTGATTGGCCTTGCCCTAAACCAGGGTAATCTCTCTGATCTGTGATTTAGTTAGGTTTTAGTGTTTTTTTGTGACTAATAATTGAAAATCATTATATTTAAAATCCAATTGCTGTGTTATAGCATGTGTGGGATTTTGTAATGGAAACTGGTATGTATGTGGATGTAGTTGTGGGAATTTGAACTTTGCAAGAAGAGTTGCTTGTAATAAATGCGGTACTCCTGCTCCTGCTGCTGGCCAAAATGATCGCAGTGATGGTGATGGTGGTTATAGAGGAGGAAGTGGT